AAAAAAAAAAAATATTTAATTTTATTTCCTTTCGAGAAATTTCCCACATTTCTTTTTTAAGCTACCGAACTCCCCTCCGTTCGAAATCGAACAGGCCAATTATTACGCAATAAATTAAATTAATCGACGTAATTGGTGTGATGTCATCGTTCAGTTAACCAATGATCGTTGATAATTGGCGATACAGTCGGCGCCATTATGTTCGTTAAGATAAAACCGCAAAACTTTAATTTAATTTTATACGAAAGGAAAATAAATAAATAAATAAAAAATTTTAATTTATTCCATAAAAAAAAATGTTCATAAATTAAGATTAAAACGTTTTAAATTTTCTTTTCGTCTTCTTCTTTTATGTGAAGAAGATACTTGTAAGATAGATTGAGACAAATTGTTATTCAAAAAGCGTAAAAAAACATTTTCGGACTTAACGCTCGAACGAATCAAATTATTGGGAAAAATTGTCTTAATCCCATTGGATAGATAGACTGATGATGTCATTCAAAGTACCCCCTGACAATCAGAAAAAAAGATTTATAGTATTATAAAATGTCTTGGAAGAAAGTTATGTTCAAATTTAACATGGAGAAAGAAGGAAACTTATACATATATTTATTAATTTATGTTGAAATATTTATTAATTTATGTTGAAATATTTATTAATTTATNCTTATCCTATAAATATATTTCTATTTTAGGTTGAAATTTTTATCAAAATATTCATATCTATCGTTTTATTTCTTTGTTTGAACACTGGATCTCTCGACCAGGTCTCCTGTGACCCCCCCAAAGGGGCCAATAGATTTTTATCTGACAGGTCGATAAATTACTAGGAGATCATTTGGGGTCGGTGAATATATTTATTTCTATTAAATTTTATTAAAATGAATTATGATTACAATTTTGATATATGTTTAATAAAAAAATATATTATTCTTATTAGTATTAAAAGGGCCCTTTAGAGCCACGTTTAGATTTGTTACTCCCCTAAGATATAATGTATAAAAAGCCCTTCCCTCTATCAAATGAATTTATTATGAAGCTATGTAGGAGGCCCTTCTTTACCACCAAATATGTATTGTGCATTACAATTTTACATCTATTATTATTATTATTATTATTTGCTGGAGAGGAAGGGCCTATTTTATACATCGTAGCTTAGGGCCCCAAGAAATGTTAAATCTAGCCCTGTTTATGTTTAAATCCGGAGAAAAAACACTAGAAACTCTTAATTTTCTTAAGAGAATTTTCATATTTTAAACCGCAATTATATTAAATAATAAAAATTGTAATACAGTACTTGTGTGATATTGATTGTAGCCTTCTGGAAAATAAGGAATATTTTCCGAATCAAATGAGCCATTTAGCCAAAAGGTAGGTTGCTCTAATTGAGAATTACTGATTAAAATAACAATGCTAATGACATAATTAAGTCTATCGTCGAATGATAACAAAATTCAATAGATAATTTTATTATTATAAACAAAGAAAAATTAAGAAAATTTTCAAAATAATTCGACTAGAAAGCTTTAAATTTAATATATATTTGAGAAAATTGAGGAACGTCTAGACATCCAGACTTGCTCGAAAAATAAAAACTTTTACTTTAAAAACGTAATTCAATTACAAGTTTTAAATTTTCTTTTATTTTTAAATTATTAATTAAATAATTTACATAATTTTATTAATACTTTCATTTACAAATTATGTTTTTCTGTTTACAGCTGGACGTCGTTGGGAGGTGGCCGTTATTGGAGGTTACTTTAACAATTAGAAGCACGCAACACGATATTTCAAATTTGCCAATAGAAGACAAGCCTTATAAAAAGGCCCACAATTATAAATTATAATTCGTTAAATGAAATAGGCCTCTTTTATATTATAGTTTAGGGCCTCACTCCTTTAAATTTACTATTATTTGGTTAAAAGAAAGGCCTTATATATAACTTATTATACTTTAAATTCGTTAGGAAATGGGAAAGGGCCTTTTTTATTTCATAGCTTAAGCTTCACAGTTTAGACCCTAATGTTTTAAATTCAGTTATTTGGCGGAGGAGAGGCCTCTTACATTAATCAAGGCAGGAATAAAATTCATATTAAAATATAATTTATGGCATATAAATGTTATAATATTTAACAATAAAATAATTAATAAAATTTAACTAATGCTGTTATCTCTAAACAATTACTAAACAAGGCAACATTTACAAGATAATAAATAAAATTATCATCATCATTACCGTGATAAATTAATGAGTTAATTCGATGTAATAAAAGTTTATTTTCTATGTATTTAATAGTACATTAAACCTGTCTAAAACGGAAAACAGTTCGATATTGTGCCATTCCGGTTTACACGGATTTTACTGTAATGAAAGGAAATTTTAAAGTTAAACTTTAGAAAAGGAAAAAAAATAAAATAAAATAGAAAGTACTGTTAGGAAAAGCTTATAAAAGATTGTATTGTCTTACTTCTGTGACGTAAAAAAAAGGAAGATAAATACAATAAAAGAAAGAAAACTAAACTTTACTCTTTGTTGATTTCTTTAAAACAATTCTAAGCTGATAAATATAAAATATTCGAAAGCTATTTATTGATACTGTAAAACTTGTAAACAACGGCCATTGCCGTTGTTTACAAGTTTTACAGTATCAACAAATGGCCGTTGTTTACAGGTTTCACAGTATCAACAAATGGCCGTTGTTTATAGTGAAACCTGTAAACAACGGCAATAGCCATTGTTTACAGGTTTCACAGGCAACATAAAAAATTACCCGTTGTTTGAAATTGAAAAAGAAAAGCTCCTGGAAAATGGCCGGCTCTTAGAGGTGGTCGTTATTGGAGTTCGTATACAGTAAAATCTGCGTAAATCGGATTTTACACCGTATCGAATGTTTGGCATGTTTCCGTTTTGAACAGGTTCTTTTTTAACGCAAAAAATCGCTCCGTTCCGAAGAATAACAACTAAGTTCGAGTCTCATTGTGGGCCTAGCCAAAGCTAGGATGGACCTTAAAAAGGCCCTAGTAACGCCTAAACGATAGAAACAGTTTAAAAACTTATAAATAAACAATTTAAATAAGAAAGTAATTTTTTAAAAATAAATATTTAATATGAGTTATATTTATTTTTCTTATATTTGAAATTAAATATTATAATATTATATAATAAATTATTTATAAATGATCAAAGTGATAATAAAATTAATTTGAAATTTTATTTAATTATATATTTACAGTGATATTTAATACACCAAATTTACTTCATCTATATATGTATTTTTATATATTTTAAAGGAATAATTTATATTTTAAAATTTTCTCTTTATAAGGAAAATTTAAAATTATCAACGTATTTACTTTTATTTTAATAAAATATTAAACATTTTGTAAATACAATAAATTTAATATCATTATTAAAATTCAAAATTTCAAACTAACCAATTGAGAGAAGAATTTTTATGACGTAACCTGTTCTCAGCAGGTCATTGGTTTATGACTTCTTTCACGTTATTGGTTATTTTAAAAATTTAAATCGTCTAAATTGAAATTTTAAGAACCGTTATAATTATTTTATTAATTAACGGAACTTAAATTATTACTTTTATATTTTATTTATGTAGAAACATCAATAAAAATTATATAACAATATTTAGTTTTTTCAAAGTAAATTTTAAATAAAAGCGCCATCTCTCGACAATTATACTAAAGAATTAAAAAAAAAATTAAATGTATAATTTAATAAATTACTTTACATTAAAATTTTATATTTAAAAATGNAGAGGAATTTTATCACAAATTAAATTATTATATTGTAAATTTTATTTTAAAAAATTTAACGTATAAATAAAAGTATTATTTTTATTATTTTTTCCTCTGTAACTTTATATATGTAACGACATGGCTGATAGAAAATCCCTTTAATAGATAATGAAAAATGTAGCGGGTTAGCGGTTGTTTATATAAAATAACTTAATGTCAGAATTGGATTATTATTTAATGTCGGAAAGTATAAATGATTTCCCACTTGGGAATTACACGGATAGAAACAAAATATTTTTAATAATAATAATAATAATACCAACTTTTTATTGTGATTTTTATATTAAATTAAACGTGATTTTATGAAACATTTTTCCTATTAGAAAATCTCAAGATGTTTTAATATCATATATCAAATTTTAATAATGATAAAATCATTTACAACAGAATTAATTACGTCGTACTTAAAGAAAGAAAAACATTTAAATGAAATTTATTGTATGAATCTAATTATTTAATTGATATTAAAATAGTTTGCTTTTATTTCGGGATTTTTGTATATTATTTTAAATTGTAAAAGCTATTTAAGATGCGTGCCGAAGTATGGAAATACAGTATTCATATGTATTTTATTTTTTAAATTTAATTTTGAATTTTAAATATAAACTATTACTCTAGTTATTTTTGTAACAATAATATTATTATAAAAAACAGATTTCTTATAAACATTATAAAAATAAATTTAAAAAAAAAATTTAAGAAGACCGAAAGAGGCGCCGACATTACGCGATGACGAGAAACAAAAATACCGCGTGCAGACGATTTCGACTTATATAATTAAAAAATAATAGCAAAATTTATTTTTAAAAAATTAATTATTATGTTCATAATGATTTATAATAATAATATATAATAAAATTAAAATTATTATGCAAATAAATAACTAAATAATTATTTATCAATCACGAAACAGGCGCCTCCGATACGCGACGATGAACAACTAAAAACTCGGCCGATGACTCATCCCGAGTTTGAAACTTTCGTTTCAACAATTTATAACTTTCTTATTATTTTTATTACGCTTCATTATAATTTATATTTTATATTTAAACCTACGTATATTTTAAAAAAATTGGTTACGGACCGCGTATTATTTTCGTAAACATTTATAACCAATGAAAAGGCTAGAGATACCGAAGCGCGAGAGTGCTATGACGTCATCGCACGCGCCAGACAGTCGGGTGGACGAGGATGGCGTCTGCAGATGATTTTCTTAAGCTTCAGTAAGCGTTTGGGATAAAACGAAGAAATATGACATAATTATTTCGTATTTATATACAATTTTGTTTAATTTTAAAATGGAATATATCATTATAGGTAAGTTATCGATTGATATTTATTTATTTCTTTATTATTAATTAAATTTCGTTAACCCTAAATTGTTGATGTTGATTTGTTTGTTAGAATTTACTTTTTTAATGATTGTATCACGTGATCGAAGATTATTTGATAATTAAATTTCCAGCTTAATTGCCATCGTATGGAAATACCATGAAAAGGTTAATAATTTCCTGATATTTTTGTAGTTATCCTGGGATCTTCATCTCTTGGATCTTTTGGTTCTTCATCTTTGGCTCCGTAGATTCGTGCAACGGCTGGATCTTGCTGTTTGCATCTTTTGACTCTTTTTTTTTTTTTTGATGTAAGATTTAAAGAAGAGCTTAAATATTTAAATAGAATCTATGGAGCCAAAGTCCAAACATTCATAGAAGAGTTTGATCTTACGCATTTTTATCTTTGGCTCCATAGATTCATGGAAGGGTTGGATCTTGTGGATTTTTCGTGAATCTATGGAGCCAAAGATCCATAGATTCACACGAAAGAGCTATCTTGCTATTGAGATCTTTTGGCTCTTATTTGGATCCTTTAGATTTTCAATTTTGGCTCCCGTAGATTTGAAGATGTGTGGTCTTTTTTTTGGCTTTTGTTTTATTTGACGTTTCGTCTTTGGATCTTATGAATTATCACCTTTGTTTCCATACATTTAAGGAAGAACATTTGGATATTCTTTACATCTTACGGAGTTCATACGTTTGAGAAGTCATCTGTTGGATCTTTATCATCTTCTCTCCACTAAAGTGAAGATGTTGATCTGAAAAGTTTCTCGATTCAACAAGATGTTAATTTTCCTGATCCAATTTTTACGGGGGATTAAAATTCCCAATAAAAATTGAATGAAGGAAATTACCATCTTGTTTTTCAGCTTGTTTGAATAATTCAAGCTTTCTAAAATTTAATAAAATATGTGATTATTATAATCCCCAAAGTAAAATTACATATTTGAAATTCTTGTTAACATTTTTTATACATAAAAAAAATCATTTGCGGCTTGTAATTTTTATAGGGAGCAACAAAAAAAAAACAACAATTATAACGACAATAAATTTAAAATTAATGGTAATTTGCTAGGAATAATTTAAGAAATTCCGTTTTAATCAACGTGTTATGCATCGTATGATGATTATAATTCAAAATATATTAAGGAAACTTTTTAGATTAGTTGCAGCTTACAACAGTTGCACCAATTTCGTTAGTAAAATATATAAAATAAACTTAAACAAGACCATACGGTCAATAATTCTTTTGAAATTGTATACTAGAAGCTCCAAGATCACGTATAACTTAGAGGAAATTTATAAACCAAGTCAAGATTTAAACGATTGACCTGATGATCTTTATCTTTATAAGGATCTTTATTGAATTATTCTAGGTCTGTAAGCATTTATACGAACGGAAATAAAATAGAATAAAATTTTAGATAACGCGTATATATATATATATATTACTGTTTAAGTGTGTGGATTCTGATATACACGATTTAAAATTGTAATATCTTTTCCTAAGCTGTCGATTGGATAATTATGGAATCGCGTGTCTATTTTAAAATTCAAAACGTAATTTTATGGATGGAAAGCCAATGTGTGGTAATTCGAATGATAAGTTTTGGAGATTGAAGTCATGAAAATATGATAATAGTTTCCGTTTTTTTTTTCCTTATTTATTTTACTTTCCCGGCTGTTGTATATAACGGAGGGAAAGTATGGCGATCGGTCAAAACAATTACTCACTCCCCAAGATTTTTACATTTTTTCTTTTTTTTTTGGATCAGGACACTTTGAAATGTCGAGAAATGCAAAAAAAATTAAGGATAATTTCTGTATGTATGGACGTGTGTGTGTGGGCGTGGGGCACGATTTTATTCATCCTGTTTAAAGCTTAATAACTCCTGTGCGTTTTGTCGAAAATTTCTGAAATTTTGCAGGGAGGTTTGTTTATTAGGGGGATCGATGCTGTTAAATTTTGGTGATTAAAGGTCGTCGGGGTGGGGAGATAATGGGGGTCGTGTAGGGTCGGACTTAATGACGATTTTACGCGTTATTATCATTTACGATTCTTCATAAAACCCATCCATACCCTCTAAATTAAGCATTTTGCCATTTTATAATAGTTAAAAAAATATGAAAAGTTTTAAAAATTAAAATGTGTTAACAGATGGCACCACTAAATGTTGCCGGGAAAGTTAAGCAACTCGTTACTGGGTTTTTTTACATGAAATTATTCGATAAAACTCGTATTATCTTACTATCGAAGTTGGATAATTACGCCAAAGTTTTTAATCTTTTTCTCTCGATTAGTGGCGAAAAAAATATTAATTGTTCGACTTTTTTTAGTGTTTTTTTTAATAATTTTTTTAGCGTAATTAATGTACGTTTGACACGAATTTCGATTCGATTATGGCGAAGAAAGGCAATTGTTCGGGTGTGAAAGACTGTTTAGTTTTATCGAAACAGATTGTAACGTGTATACAGATTGTAATTTGAGACATGTAGCGTTAAAAAACGTTTTTTTTTTATGTTGATAATAAATCTGATGGTGTACTTGCACCTTATATTATCGCTCTAAGACAGTTTTATACTTGAAGATAAGTATATTTATTCTCTATAAAGGGGGAAGTGGATAGAAAAACACGATTGTTTTTCCTCTCCTCCCCATTAAATGCTCGTGTTTTTTTTTAACGTGGGGATATTTATTTTAGGAAATTCGATTTTTTTTCTTGTTTTTTAAATAATTGCTCGTTATTAAAATAATGAAAATACGGGCCTTTCTCGCCTGTCTCTCTCTCTCCTTAAACGTTTCATTTTTATCTGCTAGACGTTATCGATTCAAACTGTTCGAGCACTCAGCGGCTCGTATATCAGAAGACAGTGGCGAAGACGAATTGCTAATAGCTTGTCGCCGTTAAAGCTCTAACAAGTCAAATTTTTACTATCGAATAAATATTTCATTTTGTTTCCTTGCCAGAAAAAAAAATGGGAGAAGAGAAATAATTCCAGTTAAAGCTTCCATTTAAGTAAGCCAAATTGCCCGTAGCCGATATTAAAATTACGCTGGCTTCGGGCGAATTTTAAATCGTACCATTGCCTCGATTATCCCGATTCTTGCATGCCCACACACATACACAATGTACTTGTACATATATAATTTAACTTTATCTGGAAGTAAGAAGATGCTGGCGGAGTAGGGGAGCATCATTTGATCAATCGAATTCCTTTACTGCAACCGCAAAGCGGCTTCTTGTTTAAAGTATGATAGTCACTCTCAACTTGACCATATTACAGTACTAACAGTAAGTAAAATAATGATGCTTTGAACCGGTTGCCATGGCGAGTTGGCATGGCGCCAAGCAATGACTCATCAAACGTTCCTTTAGTGGAACTGATAAACAATGATATTCAGTCAATGAGGATGACCTTGATTGTTGGCGAGTTCGAGGGAGAGGCGAGTGGCAACGTAATCCTTCCACTGTGACGTCGGATGCTGGCCGGCCTGTCTTGCTACCTGTTTTTTACCTGACAGGTGAAGAAAAGTATCGATCCGTCTGACTCGGATGACCGGGTGTTGATTCTGTGATGGACGAAAAACGACTATTCGGTAGCAGCATCACGTGTTCTCGCCATCAAAAGACATACAAGACCCCCGCTGTAGATTTAATTCTCTTTCACTGGTTTCCATGGTGATGTAAGCATTTATTCGTTCCAGTTGTTGCACCGATTTCAATTTCGAACGTTCTAATAGATTTATATCGATGACGTTAAGGCTCTTCCAGCAATTTTAATGGGCTTATTTCTAGTAAACTTTAATGATGAATAAAGTGTCATACGATAATTACAACTTTTTTGTTGTTGTTTTTTTCTTTTCAGGTTAGTTGACGATCATGTCGGAATCAGAACCTCCGCCTCCACCAGCCCCTCCTCCTCCGTATGCCATATTCTCGTCTCTACCATCCCTCTTAGCTGATATAGAAGATGGAGACGAAGATGTGGACGGGGAGCCGGTCAGGAGGGTTGGTTCCCTCATGTGGCAAGCCGGAGTCGACGTTGATTGGCAAGAAAGGTGCTTCCAATTGGAATTATCGCTTCACAGGTTCCGTAGACAGGCTGCCAAAATAAGGGAGCTTCTTAGGGAAAAGGTAAGGGGGAAAAATAGCAGAGGAAGCGAGCATTTACTTATTCATTTATCGCATTTTCTTCCAAGCACTTATCTTGATTGACAATTCATTCGTTTGTCGCGAATTATGTCTAAATTCTTCTGATTTTACTCTAGAGGATGTCACGTCCGTTTTCGACTTTTTTCCCTTTACAGATAACGAATGAATTATCGTGTATCTGTCAAAGTTTTCTGCTGTTTCGCTTATTTATTTATTTTTCTTTCTTTTTTTTTTATTGTTCCCTCGCTTCTCACCAGAAGAATTAAATTTTGTTTCCGAATAATTCTTTCAAAGCTGCATTATTTTTCCAAATTCCAACGTACTTACACATATTTCAACTTATTAAATATCTTCTGACGTTTTCAGAAAACGAAAATACACATTAAAACCCAAGATATTAGCGTGAAAATATTATTGTAAAGTAGCGCGTTAACGCTTAATTAATGAAGGTAGTTACGCATTTGAACTAATTGCGTTTAAACGAGAAGATAGAAAAATGATGGACCGATGCAGGTAATTTGTCCCCTGATATCTAGATAAGGCGAAGGGAATTTCCGCAAGCGCTTCCCTTTCCCCCTCGCTTTTATGACGTCGAATCGTCACTAATACGTCCCACTGTCACGTAGGTGACGTCAGCAATTTAGAGATTCTTTTCCTTCCCGTTTTAATATAAACGCCAGATTAGCACATTTTCCTCCCCTCCCCTCCATCTTTTACTGGATTTTCCAAGCAAAAGCCATTTGTCGCTTGGTTCAAATAATATGAAAGAGCCCAACTATCTGGACTTTTTATTTCTTTAGGGTTTGATTATTCTGACTAGCGACAATCTGACGCCTTTAGTTCGTTGTCCTGGTAACAGACAGTCTTATTCCTTCTGGCATTTATCATTCACATAAGATTTTTCTCTTAATTATATATATTTTTAAGAGTAATATTATAAAAAAAAATAAATAAGAAAAATAACTTTTTTTTTTTTTCTCGTGCGATTTTGAAGCGATATTTCTAATTTATTAAAATTTTTGGAGGGTCAGAGTCGTGTAAAATGTTTTCAGACTCGCTTAATCTGTCCATGTTTATGTATAGTTTAACAGTTTGTTGATTCGTCTCCAAGCTAAAGGAGCCTTTGCACCTGTAAATCCAGTTTCTCTGCATGGTTTATAAGTCGTGTAAGGAAGAATCGTTTTCATTTTAACTGAATTTTTCGCTTTTAATGTTTCATTTTTAACGATTTTCTTAAAAAGTCTGCCTTAAAATATTTTAAAAAGTTAATATCTTAAATATAATGCATTTATGTCTTTCGTACTTAATATTTTAATAAATTTAAATAACTTTTTGTATGCCAAATTAGGAAATTTGTACGTTTTCAAGGGATAAATAGAAATTTCAAAACTATTTTTTTGGTGGTATTTACTTCCAGTTTTGGCTTCGGTAATAAGAAGATCATTAGCAAAAATTAATTTTTTTTTTTGTTTGTTTTCTATATTTTTAGACGTTTTAAGTAATATTTTGTGCATTGTAGCAAGCCCTGTAAAAAAAAAAAAAAAGTAAAACTTTCCTTTCTTAGAGCTTTCACGTTTTTAACACTCTAGGAGCGTTATTCCCTTTATAGCGTGTCACTCTATTGTTCGACTCTCAGACATTCGACTTTTGTATGCATTTTTAAGAATGCATTACTCCTAATTAACCCAAAAAAGGGATTACTCCTAATTCTTATGGTATAAAGAGTGCCACAAAAGTCAGTTAACCAAATTTTTTTCAACTTGGATTGTAATTTGCGTATTGAGCAAGATTGATTTCATTCGAAACTTTTCGTTTTTAATGTTTGTAAGTGGTAAAATATTTGAATAAGATAACAATTTACCAATGGTTAAGTGATTTTTGGGTCAGCTTGTGTAAAGAGTAAACTTTTAGTTATATATATATATATATATATATCATAGTATTGTATACTTTGATTAAATAAATTTAATAGCTTGAACTGATTATGAATTTCCAAGAAAATAATTAATATAAATTTAAAAAAGGCATATACTTGTAATGTTTTATAATAAAAATTTAACATATATTGTTATTGATGTTAGAAAAATGAAATAANATACAGTGTATGAATTTATTATTATTTTATTTTTTTCTGATTTTCTTATTATGTACATTAATTTTATTTTGGAAAATAATTAACATTAATATTATTATTATTTTAAACCAAATAACAAGTGAACTGTGTGTAAGTTTTTATATTTATTTTAAATATGTAATTTTTTTTTTTTCGACCTTGATTTCAAACATTTTGGTCTTTCGTACTTAATATTTTAATAAATTTAAATAACTTTTTGTATGCCAAATTAGGAAATTTGTACGTTTTCAAGGGATAAATAGAAATTTCAAAACTATTTTTTTGGTGGTATTTACTTCCAGTTTTGGCTTCGGTAATAAGAAGATCATTAGCAAAAATTAATTTTTTTTTTTGTTTGTTTTCTATATTTTTAGACGTTTTAAGTAATATTTTGTGCATTGTAGCAAGCCCTGTAAAAAAAAAAAAAAAGTAAAACTTTCCTTTCTTAGAGCTTTCACGTTTTTAACACTCTAGGAGCGTTATTCCCTTTATAGCGTGTCACTCTATTGTTCGACTCTCAGACATTCGACTTTTGTATGCATTTTTAAGAATGCATTACTCCTAATTAACCCAAAAAAGGGATTACTCCTAATTCTTATGGTATAAAGAGTGCCACAAAAGTCAGTTAACCAAATTTTTTTCAACTTGGATTGTAATTTGCGTATTGAGCAAGATTGATTTCATTCGAAACTTTTCGTTTTTAATGTTTGTAAGTGGTAAAATATTTGAATAAGATAACAATTTACCAATGGTTAAGTGATTTTTGGGTCAGCTTGTGTAAAGAGTAAACTTTTAGTTATATATATATATATATATATATCATAGTATTGTATACTTTGATTAAATAAATTTAATAGCTTGAACTGATTATGAATTTCCAAGAAAATAATTAATATAAATTTAAAAAAGGCATATACTTGTAATGTTTTATAATAAAAATTTAACATATATTGTTATTGATGTTAGAAAAATGAAATAAATAAATAAACCATGCAATATTATTAGATTTAATTAGAAGCTTTATTTAATGTTTATCATTATTAATTATTTTTTATTACTCAGCTAAATTAATAAAGTATTTAATTTCTAATTATTTAAGTAACAACTGCAGTTGACGTCAGACATATAAGAATAAAAGTACACAAATTCTATACATATAATAATACTACTAATTAAAAATTCAGTTTATATAAGTTGTACATCATATTAATTATAGCTTTTTTTTTAGTTTATTAACATAAGTTTCTAGCTAATCACAGATACTTCTAAAATGATAAAATAAAGCATAGAGCATAAAAAATGATATTTAAATGCAAAAAATTACATGCCACAAATATCTTGTTTGCAAATTAAGACTATTCAATGATCAAAAAATCTTGCCGATAAACTAAGTAGAGGGAGTGAATACTTCTTTTTGTATTTGTGCTTGTGCATTTGTCTTGAGCATCTGCTTTTTCTGTCTAGTTTTTTAACTTGTGAGCATTCCAACTCATAAATAATACATTTGTAGTATCTAATTTTTTACATTTAAACACTTTTTGATGTTCTGTCAGACAGAATTTTTCTCGTTATTTCTTGATTTTAGCATCTCGGAAGAGCCTCTGGCTAAGTAATTTCTTTCTCTAGAATGTAGAAAAAGTTGCGGTTACTCGGGATAATTTTGTGGAACAAATACAGATATTTTTAAAGACCAATTTTTGATCTCATTATGAATTATTTAAGCTAAATTTTTTACGTATAATTTTGTAAATTTCTCTCATTTTTCTATTTTTTGCATAGACTTTATTCAAATTTTACATCTGCAATAAATAATGTTAGTTTAACTTGGAAGATAGTTTATAATCTTCAATAAAATTCATTTTTTGCTGTGAAATTTTTCCTTTAAGGGTAACAAAAAATTTTTATAACGAACCAATAAAAGAAACGAATATTATTTTATTATTAGACACTTTTTTGCACGCGAATTATAATTATCAAGATGAATTTTAACTATATAAGTTGCGGAAAGATTTTTGCACATTAATTCAGTAAAAAATTAGTAGCAAGATTTTAATTAATAAGAAGTTCTGCATTAATATAAGTATCTTATACTTGAAATTACATTCCTGTTTTTAATTAAGCTAATTAAGTTGATAAAATTATGAAATTTTAAGATAAAAGACCATTTGTTATCGTAATTACCGTTAAAGAAAATAAATATTCAGATATATTGGCAGCGATGTTATTGATTTACTCTTCAAGGACTTAATATATATATAAAAATTGTTTTCGTTAAACTGCTGTTTGCTTTAACTTTTATTTCAACTCATCAATTTTGTGTATCGATGTGATGTCAAAATGATTAATAATGTATACATTATAAATCCTCGAATTTATACTGTTTAATTTTGCTAATTTCATTTAGATTAAATTATGTTAATATCGTATTATTTCATAGAATAGTTAAGCATATATATCAATGAAAATAAAACAAATTTTGCAGTTAATTTATTCTGAATATAGACTTAAAAATCACATAAATTATGACTTTTTAAAGTATTTTTAAAGAATCTTAAATAATTAAGTTAGAGACAAACTTTATGATTAATTTAAAGTTACATTTTGACATTCTAAGTTTTGTAATGTAATAAACATTGCATATTTTTTTGTTTTCGTAATTGTTGTTGCGAGGTGTTCCGTTATTTCTTGAAAATCGATAATATATATATATATATAAAAGGAAGAAAATTTTGAATATAAAGATGTAATTTTTTAAAAATTATACATTTATTCTGTTAACAATATTTGCAATCATATAAAATTTACTATTTTATTTGATTGCTTATCTGTTAGAGAAGATTTGTTTATTTTTTTATAGACAAATTTAAAAAAAAATTGTTTCAAAGATAGAAAATAAAATATAGTATCTTATTTTAGAGAGATAAATCTATCAAGAATTAAAGAGTACGGAGTGGGTTTTAATTTATAACATATTTATACTGGTTCTTTCGGAAATCCAGAAAAAAAAATCATGAGCCCATTCACTTTCGGTTCACGAAATCATCAATCATAGTTTCTCAAAAAAATAAATAAAAAAAAAAGATACAAATTTAAATTGGATTATCTTAAATGTTTTATTTTTAGATAAAATTTTTTATAAGAATGTAAAGAATTTCATCTTTGAAATTGGGATAATGATATATGTATTGAAAATGCTTGACATATATACGATTTTAATTTTAAAAAATCCTTTAATTTGTTAATATTACATATAAAATTACCGAGAAGAAAAGTATTTACTTTGTGTCTGATACGCTTAGTTACGGATGAAAGGTGCATTAAGTTTTAAACTGCGTTTTCAAGATCAATATGATTTAGCATGTTTCCTAACCACTTTTGGGTGACGCATCCTTATAAGCACAGGGGAACACTTGACATTCGTGTGGCATTACACTTGTGATCTATTGGTTGGAAGACAGCGATCTAGAGATAAAATTTATATAAATGTGCAATTTTTATCATTATAATTATTAGTTTATTTTATTTATTTTATTTTTTTTATTTGAGTTTAAAAAATTGCATGTTATGAATTATATAAACTATACTTGAACAACTGTAAATCAATACTGTTTCGAATTTATCTTTGCACTGTAATTATAATTAAAGTTAACAGATGTCAAAGTTAATAGCTAATTTGGCAATATCACAGGGTGGTCCGAAAGTCGATTAACTGAGGTATATTTTTAGAATGACTAAAACCAGTTTGGAATTGCTGCATTTTATTATTTGTGATTCAGTCACTTCCGATGAAACAGATGAATCACATATAACAAAAGGCCGCTGTTTCAAACTGGTTTTAACCAATCTTAATATAAACTTGGTTAACTGATTGGGCCACTTTCTATATGTCCATTAATGTATACTTATCAAATTTATTACTGAAAAATATGATGATTAATGCTAAGTTTTTAAAATAAATTCTTAAGTAAAGAGAAAAATTCTCAAGATTATTTGCATATTTTTTTCCCTCCTTTTCAAATATTTTTCTAAATATCATTGAAGAACGCCAATAATTTTTATGAAATTAATAACGTTTACAGCTCTTTCTTGACTCCTCTTCGGATTAATCTTTAACCAACCTTTATAAAAAAATAAAAAAATCTACTTTCAAGAAATTAAGTATTTAATTTTCTTAAATGACTTTAATCTTTTAAAGGTCATAGTTAGGACTTATTGGTTATAAAATAAAAGTTTATATAACAATAGATTGAAAGTATTTGAGAATATTAAATATTTTAAATAGCTTCTCTTTCACTAAAAATTTTGAATTTGATTATTCTAATATTAAATTAATTACTAAAAAAATTAAAGAAATGAATCTTTATAATTTAGTGGCTAGATAGATTCTTTCACTTATGTCGTATTTGAAAATTTTTATTGTTATGATGATGATGATATTCATTATATTGATAAGATGTATAGAATTAGAGAGAAAAGTGAATCTGCGTCAAATTAGAAAATGCTAGATTTATACTGATTCTTCTTTTGAGAACCATTAGGAAATGAAGGAAACCACAAAGAAACATTAAAAATAGAATATTTCAAGCACACCATATAATATCTTTTTATACCTTGTTCAACTGGAAGGCCCACCAAGGGATGAATAGATAATAGCAATTACAATTATCTTATTACCAAAAGAATTATGACAAAATTTGTGGACAATTTTTATTTACTTGGTCTTGAGAACCACGCTACAACATTGCCAAAACTTCCTTTTTCAGACTACTTGTCCATATATATATATATATATATATATATATTGTCTCTTTAAAAGACTAAAATCCATTTTTTTTCAAAAGACAAAATGGATGTTTGTTCTTTATCTTAAATACTTACTGCTATCTTAAGTAAAAATCCCACATTTAGAGTTTTATTATGGATTAATTTAGAAATTATTCCATAATAGAAAATATAATTTTTACATTAATTCTATATTTAATTTTTATACTCATATTTAAGTGTACTAATTTTTTAATTTATATTATTTTATATGTCTAATCTTTTCTACGCAAGAAAAACATATAAGATCTAGTTATCTAATTAAATTTTGTTATTTAGAATTTATTAAAAATTTCATACAATTTAAATTTTTAATTCAAAAGTTACATATCATTTCATTAAGATATTTTGTAAAATTAGCTTTTTTAACTTGATTTTCGGTCCGATTATTCCAGACGTGACTGAACAAAACCGAACAAGAATTGAACGGTACTTAACAAATTGCCATCGGCATCTTCTGTAGCCAATTGATTGAATCTTCGGGCTATAAATATCATGCGCTTTAGCTCCGCTTTAGTTTTCCTAACTCACTCTGATTTAATGTTTGTTTAGTTAATTTTTCCTGAACTTATTTTCTGTAAGATTAGAAAAAATACTTTAAAATAATTCTTCTCTTTTATTTCAATTTATTTTTTATTAAAGTAATACTTTCAATTTAAGTCTTTCCATAATCTTAATGATTGTTGTTTCTCATTAACATATCTTGTATATAAGTTAATTATTTTTTTGGAAGAATCCCAAGTTTTAATAATAATAATAATAATAAAATTAAATTAAATATTATAAATATAGAATTCTTAAAATATAATATTAAATTTTGGTTTAAATAAAAATAAGAAATTTCGAATTATATTCATTGAATTCACTTTCTGAAATTATATTTTTTTATATAATTTCATATATAATTAATAGGAAAAAAAGTTTGTGTGTATAAAATAAAAAAAATTGTCAATGATTTAATAATGTTATTAGAAAAAATAATGATAAATTTATGCTTTATAGTTGACTGAGCTTGAAAGGAGAGTAGCTGAAGCTGAAAGACGTGCAGAAGATGCAGAAGAAAGGGTATATTGTGGTTCTTTTTTATGATATAATATTAAAATTTGACTGTTATTACCATTCTTATAGACGAAAGCAAAACCATATTGAATATAAATGATGTTTCACAGAAGATTTCTAAGTCTCTTTTATAACATTAATTCTAATTCAGAAGTGGAAAAAATTGTCTATTGTCATAACTCAAAATATAATATAAAAAGCAATTTGGTTATTACAATAATTTTATTTATGATTTACAAATTTGAATTTTATATTTAGATTATTTTTTTTTCTTATGAAACTATTGTTTCTTATTCAGAAAGAGAAAAAAAATATGATAAAAAATTTCTGAATTTATATGTTCAACAAAACCAATTTTATTTTAAAAGAATGTCATCCATCTGAATGATATTGCTTTCTTTGTTGAATGTTTGCTATCTTATGTATTGAATTTAGTTTTATAGGACAAACATATTTTAGTTTAGTATTATGAATTTTTTACAAAATTTAAGAAAAATTCTTAAAATAGACAATACATAAAAGTGTCTTTTAAATTTGTCCTTTTGCATGCACATGGGGAAATTAACAGTTCCATGGCGAAGTCAGTCGACTTTGCCATGGGACTATTAATTTCCATTTCATTTGAGACTACTTGTCTGCCTCAATATGTAAATGTTAAACACATCCCTCTGGCGAGGACACAGTTAAAAATAAAAAATAAAAATAAAATAAAAATAAAAAATACATTTGATAAAAATTAAATGTCAATTATCAAATGTAAATTTCTTGTTTGTGTCTATGCCATTACAACTTTCAAAATTCATAAGAATGGAATGAAGCCTTCAAATTGTATATAAAATCCATTTTAATTTAACTTTGACTTAAAATTACTTATCGGTATGAGTTGTTACAGTTATATATTTGTCCTGTAAAACTATGTGCACAAAATGTTAGACATTCAACAGAGAGGTGAATATCTTGAGAATTAATAAAACAGATAACTCTCTTTCCGACTAAAATTAATTATGTCTAAGACATAATTTATTTATTATTTTTATAATTAGATAATTCTTTAGAATTCAAATATCCAAAATTTAAGGATATTCACAATAAATAGAGCTTTGATATCTTTAATTTTGATTAATAATAATATTACAAGACTTCAGAAACATAGTTTGAGTTACTATAAATTCCTCATCAGTTTACCTTTACTACATGATTTACAACATTCTCAATCATATTGTAAGTCAGTAAAAATTAAAAAATAGAAAATATATATCATTTTATGTTAAAATTACAAATTACAAAATTAATTTCTTTTAGATTAATTTTTTCAAGCCTAACAATTATATTTTTGATTAATCCATAATTAGAAATGATTTTCTCTCAGAAATATATAAGTTATGAAATTTAATTTTAAATCTATTATAATTGCAAAAAATTATGGTGTGATAGCCGTTTGATAGATTGCCTTTATATGATATTTTGACAGTTTAATGTACATATAATAATAATTACTAATAATTTTAATAAACATGTGAAGACGATTCAAACAAATATTTAATCATAGGCTCTATTAATGGAACAAAAATTACCTCAACCTGGTTGGAAAAGTGAACAACAAAGTGAAAGTGGTGTTCCTACAAATCAAGATATTAATAAATTAGAAAAATCATGTAGAGAAAAAGATAAAATAATTTCTACTCTTGAGCAGCAAGTAACTGAACAGGTACAGTACATTTTAACTCTCTTGTTATTGAATTTCTATTAAGACATTTAAAATGATTTTTCTAAATATATTTTTAATATTTAAAAAGCAAAAAGGATCAACTTAATAAATAAATAATTTAATCAATTTAATTAGAAAAAACTTCGAATGCAAGAGGCAAAACAAGTAGAAGCAAAAGCAGCAAAAATAAAAGAATGGGTTACACACAAATTGAAAGAGGTATTTAATTTTTTAAACATTATATTTGTTAATATTAACAGTCATGTTCAAAAACAATGTCAAATATAAATATCAACTGCATTATTTTTTCTTATAACATTTTACTAGTATTATCTATGGCATTTTATATACTGTATGGAATAATAGCCATTATTTATGTAAAAACAGTTATATTCAACTACACATGTAATATAATAAGAAATTTGTTAAAATTCATCATACAATTTGTATTTAATGTATTTGTTGTTTCAAAAGCACACAGTTCTTTATATCATTTGCTTGTTAATATCTTTTAGAATTTACCTATAAACAGAAAGTGAATACTTTCAAAATAATGACAATATTCTTACATCTTAAAATATTTTAATGTTGATTATAAGTTGTATTATTACATATCTTATCATATATATTATTAACTATAGATAGACAGAACACAATTACAATCCATCCTTGATATAACAGTCTCTGGTTTGTTGGACTTCATGTACACAGACCAAATCAATTGGAATAAAATAAAAATATTCATAAATACATGGATTAAAAATTATAAAGTGTTTAGTCAGTTTTCATTTCCTTTAAAAAAATAAATATAGTAAATCATAAAATAACTTTAAATGCAGTAATTTATGTATTCACAGTTATGATTTCAAGAAAGAATCATTCAACTAGTTTATATTGATGAGTAACCATTTCAATAAATTCATTATACATTATTAGAATAGCTTTATTGTAAAAGACTGTTTTAAGTTATTTTATTATTATTTATTATTATTTAATTTAATTTATTTGCTATTACTAAAAATTGTAAAGTACAATTCATGTGAAGCTCTTAACGTGAATCCACAGAATATATTTTAAAGAATGAAACATTTATGGCACTGTTGACAGATGTAAGTGATTTCATTTAACTAACAAGACAATATTTGTCAATAGTTTCTACCCTTGACAGATTAATTTAAAAAATATATATTCAATGAACAAAAACCATTGACCAAATACTGGCTAAAAAGTTTAAACATTAATTTTAGACAGAATTGTATAACAAGAATACATGAATGCGACCTTAAAAAATGAAAGTATAACATACCCACAGAAAAGACAGTTTATCATTACAAACCAAATATATTGATTGATGAAAGCACAATAGCTTATTTCATTGATGTAGATGTTAATTACACAGATAATTTAGAGTCTACAACACTCAATGCAAACAATTGTGTATATAAATTAATGCATAAAAGTTGGAAATCAATGATGGCTAGACTCATTAATTATCCATTATTAATGTAATGTAATGTCTTTAGTCATAGAACAGTTAGCTGATATTTAATGTTTCCTATACAATAGTTTATTTTAATATAAATCTATAAATAGGAAATAAATCTTTTAGAGCATTATACTAATTCAAAATAATTTTATTATTGTAAATTAATTTTGTTTAATTAATTAATTTCAGCTGGAAGAACAAAATCAGCATTTACGTGAACAGAATCAAAAATGCAATAAGCAATTGGAATTACTTAAAAATAGGTTGACTCAGCTCTCTCAACTCAGTCCTAAATCTCATCAAATTCATCATGATCATTCATCTGAAGTATATGCTAATTATAATATTATTATATAGATTAATATATTATAAATTTTATTTCAATTAACCCATGATTACATGCTTTATTTTTTAACACACGTACATGTGTAAGGTGGTGATTTTCTGCTGATTTTTCAAGCATAATTACTCTGCATGTAATTCTCATTCCTCAAGTTTGACAAGTCTGAAAAATCTGTAATATGTCTGCACAATCAAAATTTTCAACAGCGTATGAAAATTATTTTTATATGTTGTTTAGTTTACTAGATATTATCCTCTAAACAATTCTTTGAAACTTTACATTGGCATGGGTTAATTTGAAGCAAGTTCAGCTGATAATAAATGATAGGAGGGATGAGGTGTTTCTCAGAAGAATCAGAAAATTATTTTTCTATATTTTTTGGAATAAAATACATGCAAAAACATTTTGAAATAAAGCTGTAAAAACATTTACTGTAAATTGTTGAAAGTTGTAAGACCTCAGGCTGTCTTACATAAACAAGCATTCAAGGTTGTAGCAACTCGTAGAGCACTGTGTCATTGCATCATGTATAGCTGACAAACATCCATGATNAGAAAAATGAAATAAATAAATAAACCATGCAATATTATTAGATTTAATTAGAAGCTTTATTTAATGTTTATCATTATTAATTATTTTTTATTACTCAGCTAAATTAATAAAGTATTTAATTTCTAATTATTTAAGTAACAACTGCAGTTGACGTCAGACATATAAGAATAAAAGTACACAAATTCTATACATATAATAATACTACTAATTAAAAATTCAGTTTATATAAGTTGTACATCATATTAATTATAGCTTTTTTTTTAGTTTATTAACATAAGTTTCTAGCTAATCACAGATACTTCTAAAATGATAAAATAAAGCATAGAGCATAAAAAATGATATTTAAATGCAAAAAATTACATGCCACAAATATCTTGTTTGCAAATTAAGACTATTCAATGATCAAAAAATCTTGCCGATAAACTAAGTAGAGGGAGTGAATACTTCTTTTTGTATTTGTGCTTGTGCATTTGTCTTGAGCATCTGCTTTTTCTGTCTAGTTTTTTAACTTGTGAGCATTCCAACTCATAAATAATACATTTGTAGTATCTAATTTTTTACATTTAAACACTTTTTGATGTTCTGTCAGACAGAATTTTTCTCGTTATTTCTTGATTTTAGCATCTCGGAAGAGCCTCTGGCTAAGTAATTTCTTTCTCTAGAATGTAGAAAAAGTTGCGGTTACTCGGGATAATTTTGTGGAACAAATACAGATATTTTTAAAGACCAATTTTTGATCTCATTATGAATTATTTAAGCTAAATTTTTTACGTATAATTTTGTAAATTTCTCTCATTTTTCTATTTTTTGCATAGACTTTATTCAAATTTTACATCTGCAATAAATAATGTTAGTTTAACTTGGAAGATAGTTTATAATCTTCAATAAAATTCATTTTTTGCTGTGAAATTTTTCCTTTAAGGGTAACAAAAAATTTTTATAACGAACCAATAAAAGAAACGAATATTATTTTATTATTAGACACTTTTTTGCACGCGAATTATAATTATCAAGATGAATTTTAACTATATAAGTTGCGGAAAGATTTTTGCACATTAATTCAGTAAAAAATTAGTAGCAAGATTTTAATTAATAAGAAGTTCTGCATTAATATAAGTATCTTATACTTGAAATTACATTCCTGTTTTTAATTAAGCTAATTAAGTTGATAAAATTATGAAATTTTAAGATAAAAGACCATTTGTTATCGTAATTACCGTTAAAGAAAATAAATATTCAGATATATTGGCAGCGATGTTATTGATTTACTCTTCAAGGACTTAATATATATATAAAAATTGTTTTCGTTAAACTGCTGTTTGCTTTAACTTTTATTTCAACTCATCAATTTTGTGTATCGATGTGATGTCAAAATGATTAATAATGTATACATTATAAATCCTCGAATTTATACTGTTTAATTTTGCTAATTTCATTTAGATTAAATTATGTTAATATCGTATTATTTCATAGAATAGTTAAGCATATATATCAATGAAAATAAAACAAATTTTGCAGTTAATTTATTCTGAATATAGACTTAAAAATCACATAAATTATGACTTTTTAAAGTATTTTTAAAGAATCTTAAATAATTAAGTTAGAGACAAACTTTATGATTAATTTAAAGTTACATTTTGACATTCTAAGTTTTGTAATGTAATAAACATTGCATATTTTTTTGTTTTCGTAATTGTTGTTGCGAGGTGTTCCGTTATTTCTTGAAAATCGATAATATATATATATATATAAAAGGAAGAAAATTTTGAATATAAAGATGTAATTTTTTAAAAATTATACATTTATTCTGTTAACAATATTTGCAATCATATAAAATTTACTATTTTATTTGATTGCTTATCTGTTAGAGAAGATTTGTTTATTTTTTTATAGACAAATTTAAAAAAAAATTGTTTCAAAGATAGAAAATAAAATATAGTATCTTATTTTAGAGAGATAAATCTATCAAGAATTAAAGAGTACGGAGTGGGTTTTAATTTATAACATATTTATACTGGTTCTTTCGGAAATCCAGAAAAAAAAATCATGAGCCCATTCACTTTCGGTTCACGAAATCATCAATCATAGTTTCTCAAAAAAATAAATAAAAAAAAAAGATACAAATTTAAATTGGATTATCTTAAATGTTTTATTTTTAGATAAAATTTTTTATAAGAATGTAAAGAATTTCATCTTTGAAATTGGGATAATGATATATGTATTGAAAATGCTTGACATATATACGATTTTAATTTTAAAAAATCCTTTAATTTGTTAATATTACATATAAAATTACCGAGAAGAAAAGTATTTACTTTGTGTCTGATACGCTTAGTTACGGATGAAAGGTGCATTAAGTTTTAAACTGCGTTTTCAAGATCAATATGATTTAGCATGTTTCCTAACCACTTTTGGGTGACGCATCCTTATAAGCATAGGGGAATACTTGACATTCGTGTGGCATTACACTTGTGATTTATTGGTTGGAAGATAGCGATCTAGAGATAAAATTTTTATAAATGTGCAATTTTTATCATTATAATTATTAGTTTATTTTATTTATTTTATTTTTTTTATTTGAGTTTAAAAAATTGCATGTTATGAATTATATAAACTATACTTGAACAACTGTAAATCAATACTGTTTCGAATTTATCTTTGCACTGTAATTATAATTAAAGTTAACAGATGTCAAAGTTAATAGCTAATTTGGCAATATCACAGGGTGGTCCGAAAGTCAATTAACTGAGGTATATTTTTAGAATGACTAAAACCAGTTTGGGATTGCTGCATTTTATTATTTGTGATTCAGTCACTTCCGATGAAACAGATGAATCACATATAACAAAAGGCCGCTGTTTCAAACTGGTTTTAACCAATCTTAATATAAACTTGGTTAACTGATTGGGCCACTTTCTATACGTCCATTAATGTATACTTATCAAATTTATTACTGAAAAATATGATGATTAATGCTAAGTTTTTAAAATAAATTCTTAAGTAAAGAGAAAAATTCTCAAGATTATTTGCATATTTTTTTCCCTCCTTTTCAAATATTTTTCTAAATATCATTGAAGAACGCCAATAATTTTTATGAAATTAATAACGTTTACAGCTCTTTCTTGACTCCTCTTCGGATTAATCTTTAACCAACCTTTATAAAAAAATAAAAAAATCTACTTTCAAGAAATTAAGTATTTAATTTTCTTAAATGACTTTAATCTTTTAAAGGTCATAGTTAGGACTTATTGGTTATAAAATAAAAGTTTATATAACAATAGATTGAAAGTATTTGAGAATATTAAATATTTTAAATAGCTTCTCTTTCACTAAAAATTTTGAATTTGATTATTCTAATATTAAATTAATTACTAAAAAAATTAAAGAAATGAATCTTTATAATTTAGTGGCTAGATAGATTCTTTCACTTATGTCGTATTTGAAAATTTTTATTGTTATGATGATGATGATATTCATTATATTGATAAGATGTATAGAATTAGAGAGAAAAGTGAATCTGCGTCAAATTAGAAAATGCTAGATTTATACTGATTCTTCTTTTGAGAACCATTAGGAAATGAAGGAAACCACAAAGAAACATTAAAAATAGAATATTTCAAGCACACCATATAATATCTTTTTATACCTTGTTCAACTGGAAGGCCCACCAAGGGATGAATAGATAATAGCAATTACAATTATCTTATTACCAAAAGAATTATGACAAAATTTGTGGAAANTGTTAGACATTCAACAGAGAGGTGAATATCTTGAGAATTAATAAAACAGATAACTCTCTTTCCGACTAAAATTAATTATGTCTAAGACATAATTTATTTATTATTTTTATAATTAGATAATTCTTTAGAATTCAAATATCCAAAATTTAAGGATATTCACAATAAATAGAGCTTTGATATCTTTAATTTTGATTAATAATAATATTACAAGACTTCAGAAACATAGTTTGAGTTACTATAAATTCCTCATCAGTTTACCTTTACTACATGATTTACAACATTCTCAATCATATTGTAAGTCAGTAAAAATTAAAAAATAGAAAATATATATCATTTTATGTTAAAATTACAAATTACAAAATTAATTTCTTTTAGATTAATTTTTTCAAGCCTAACAATTATATTTTTGATTAATCCATAATTAGAAATGATTTTCTCTCAGAAATATATAAGTTATGAAATTTAATTTTAAATCTATTATAATTGCAAAAAATTATGGTGTGATAGCCGTTTGATAGATTGCCTTTATATGATATTTTGACAGTTTAATGTACATATAATAATAATTACTAATAATTTTAATAAACATGTGAAGACGATTCAAACAAATATTTAATCATAGGCTCTATTAATGGAACAAAAATTACCTCAACCTGGTTGGAAAAGTGAACAACAAAGTGAAAGTGGTGTTCCTACAAATCAAGATATTAATAAATTAGAAAAATCATGTAGAGAAAAAGATAAAATAATTTCTACTCTTGAGCAGCAAGTAACTGAACAGGTACAGTACATTTTAACTCTCTTGTTATTGAATTTCTATTAAGACATTTAAAATGATTTTTCTAAATATATTTTTAATATTTAAAAAGCAAAAAGGATCAACTTAATAAATAAATAATTTAATCAATTTAATTAGAAAAAACTTCGAATGCAAGAGGCAAAACAAGTAGAAGCAAAAGCAGCAAAAATAAAAGAATGGGTTACACACAAATTGAAAGAGGTATTTAATTTTTTAAACATTATATTTGTTAATATTAACAGTCATGTTCAAAAACAATGTCAAATATAAATATCAACTGCATTATTTTTTCTTATAACATTTTACTAGTATTATCTATGGCATTTTATATACTGTATGGAATAATAGCCATTATTTATGTAAAAACAGTTATATTCAACTACACATGTAATATAATAAGAAATTTGTTAAAATTCATCATACAATTTGTATTTAATGTATTTGTTGTTTCAAAAGCACACAGTTCTTTATATCATTTGCTTGTTAATATCTTTTAGAATTTACCTATAAACAGAAAGTGAATACTTTCAAAATAATGACAATATTCTTACATCTTAAAATATTTTAATGTTGATTATAAGTTGTATTATTACATATCTTATCATATATATTATTAACTATAGATAGACAGAACACAATTACAATCCATCCTTGATATAACAGTCTCTGGTTTGTTGGACTTCATGTACACAGACCAAATCAATTGGAATAAAATAAAAATATTCATAAATACATGGATTAAAAATTATAAAGTGTTTAGTCAGTTTTCATTTCCTTTAAAAAAATAAATATAGTAAATCATAAAATAACTTTAAATGCAGTAATTTATGTATTCACAGTTATGATTTCAAGAAAGAATCATTCAACTAGTTTATATTGATGAGTAACCATTTCAATAAATTCATTATACATTATTAGAATAGCTTTATTGTAAAAGACTGTTTTAAGTTATTTTATTATTATTTATTATTATTTAATTTAATTTATTTGCTATTACTAAAAATTGTAAAGTACAATTCATGTGAAGCTCTTAACGTGAATCCACAGAATATATTTTAAAGAATGAAACATTTATGGCACTGTTGACAGATGTAAGTGATTTCATTTAACTAACAAGACAATATTTGTCAATAGTTTCTACCCTTGACAGATTAATTTAAAAAATATATATTCAATGAACAAAAACCATTGACCAAATACTGGCTAAAAAGTTTAAACATTAATTTTAGACAGAATTGTATAACAAGAATACATGAATGCGACCTTAAAAAATGAAAGTATAACATACCCACAGAAAAGACAGTTTATCATTACAAACCAAATATATTGATTGATGAAAGCACAATAGCTTATTTCATTGATGTAGATGTTAATTACACAGATAATTTAGAGTCTACAACACTCAATGCAAACAATTGTGTATATAAATTAATGCATAAAAGTTGGAAATCAATGATGGCTAGACTCATTAATTATCCATTATTAATGTAATGTAATGTCTTTAGTCATAGAACAGTTAGCTGATATTTAATGTTTCCTATACAATAGTTTATTTTAATATAAATCTATAAATAGGAAATAAATCTTTTAGAGCATTATACTAATTCAAAATAATTTTATTATTGTAAATTAATTTTGTTTAATTAATTAATTTCAGCTGGAAGAACAAAATCAGCATTTACGTGAACAGAATCAAAAATGCAATAAGCAATTGGAATTACTTAAAAATAGGTTGACTCAGCTCTCTCAACTCAGTCCTAAATCTCATCAAATTCATCATGATCATTCATCTGAAGTATATGCTAATTATAATATTATTATATAGATTAATATATTATAAATTTTATTTCAATTAACCCATGATTACATGCTTTATTTTTTAACACACGTACATGTGTAAGGTGGTGATTTTCTGCTGATTTTTCAAGCATAATTACTCTGCATGTAATTCTCATTCCTCAAGTTTGACAAGTCTGAAAAATCTGTAATATGTCTGCACAATCAAAATTTTCAACAGCGTATGAAAATTATTTTTATATGTTGTTTAGTTTACTAGATATTATCCTCTAAACAATTCTTTGAAACTTTACATTGGCATGGGTTAATTTGAAGCAAGTTCAGCTGATAATAAATGATAGGAGGGATGAGGTGTTTCTCAGAAGAATCAGAAAATTATTTTTCTATATTTTTTGGAATAAAATACATGCAAAAACATTTTGAAATAAAGCTGTAAAAACATTTACTGTAAATTGTTGAAAGTTGTAAGACCTCAGGCTGTCTTACATAAACAAGCATTCAAGGTTGTAGCAACTCGTAGAGCACTGTGTCATTGCATCATGTATAGCTGACAAACATCCATGATTTCATCACTACCTTTTGTGGCAATTGTTTGAGGAACCTTCATGACATTATTTTTAATGACATCACCAAAACTGACATTAGAACAGAAAATTGCCACATAAGCATGCAATTGTGTGGGAAAAAATTTGTACACAGTTGCATGCTCAATGCATAAAATTTTCATGGCAGTTTTTTTAAGGCCTGTGGTAAGTGGAAAAAATATTATTCAACTAAAATTTTTATACAGTTAGATGGGTAGCAACTAGCATGAGAATATGGAAGCACATCTAAGTAAGTCAATTAGGTGAAAAAATGCCCATGAAAAAACTAGTAGATGCAGAAAATTGCTGCTCTTGAATGTGATTGTGGGTTAATATTTCTATGGAAACACATTGAAACATAAAGTATAAATTTTCTTTATATTATATGTACATAATTTACTTTATGGTAACAAATTTATACTATAATTAAACAGTTTTATAATTAGAAATTACTATCAAATTTTTAAAAAATATTTATTCATTTTTTATACTTAAGATTTATAAACTTTAAAAATAAAAAAAGAAAATACAATATATAAAGTATATAAAAAATATAGTATTACTTAATATACAAAATTTAATAATAATTTAAAAATTTTATTTTAACTTTGTTACTTAGAATATTAATACTCTTTCCATTTTGTTTAACAGAATACTACTGAACATGAAAGAACTGCATCAGAAGTAACAGATCAGCAATCAGTTAGTACTGAAATAAGTAAAGAACATCCTTTTAAAATAGAAGAAGATAGAAAAGATGCAGTTAGAGTTGCTCATACTTACCCTCGAGGAACAGATGTTTCTCGACTGAAAGGTCAAGTTTATTCTTGTTCATCAAAACCTAAAAGTAAACCTCAACCTCAGTTGGATCATGAAGGAAATATTATTTTTATATCAGAAGAAATGAATAAACTTGAAGAAGATTTAGGAAGTTACAGAGAATCATTAGTAGATACTATTCTGAGTATTGAAGATGCAGTATCTAGGTCACCTTCTCAAGCATCGACAAAGGAATCAGAAAACACTGAAACATCAACAGATGCTAATACATCACATTCTAAAGACGATTATCTTTCTGATGAAGGATGCCATCACCATCATCACCATCAAATTCATCAAAAAACATCAACAAGAGCTGAAAGTAAACTTGAGGGTCTTTCTCGAATTGGGGGGAGTCTTGATAGAAAATTAACGGGTCAAAGAAAAATGAATTTGGATGATCTACGAGCTGGTTTTGAACGGAGATGGACAGTAAAAGCAGATAATGAAATCCATGATTATGCAGAAATTTACACACCAAGCAATGAGCTTCCTATTATTCTTGGATTAGATGGTAAAAGAAATAAAGATCAAGACGGAAAGCCACCTACACCTCCTCTTCATAGATTTCCTTCATGGGTGAGTAAAAAAGTAATAAATTAGAATATTTAAACAAATTTTTTAAACTTCTATTTGATATAATTTGTAGGAATCAAGAATATATGATATTGCTGTAAGTGGCATCAGTTTATCTTGTGATTCTCTACAAGCCACAAATACAGGTATTTAAATTATTTTTATGTCACCATCATTGAAATTAAGCAATAAATTACATCAGTGAAGTTCATATAAAATAATAAATTAAAATATTTATAAAAGGTTCACCAAAAAATACTGGAAAAACATCTGAATCAAATATAAATGGAGCTTTTACTGATCTGAATATTCCAGTATATGCCACTGTCAAAGGAGTATGTATTGTTATTAATTGTTTATTCCAGTGTTTTTCAAAATTTGAATAACATAAGGATCCCTTTTGAAAGGGAATCTTAAATTATTCAAGTTTTTGAAAATTTTTTCTTTTTGAAAGAAAAATTATTTTTATACTCCCTATCTTTTACTATTTTCTATAAATAACACNTTTCTGAAATTATATTTTTTTATATAATTTCATATATAATTAATAGGAAAAAAAGTTTGTGTGTATAAAATAAAAAAAATTGTCAATGATTTAATAATGTTATTAGAAAAAATAATGATAAATTTATGCTTTATAGTTGACTGAGCTTGAAAGGAGAGTAGCTGAAGCTGAAAGACGTGCAGAAGATGCAGAAGAAAGGGTATATTGTGGTTCTTTTTTATGATATAATATTAAAATTTGACTGTTATTACCATTCTTATAGACGAAAGCAAAACCATATTGAATATAAATGATGTTTCACAGAAGATTTCTAAGTCTCTTTTATAACATTAATTCTAATTCAGAAGTGGAAAAAATTGTCTATTGTCATAACTCAAAATATAATATAAAAAGCAATTTGGTTATTACAATAATTTTATTTATGATTTACAAATTTGAATTTTATATTTAGATTATTTTTTTTTCTTATGAAACTATTGTTTCTTATTCAGAAAGAGAAAAAAAATATGATAAAAAATTTCTGAATTTATATGTTCAACAAAACCAATTTTATTTTAAAAGAATGTCATCCATCTGAATGATATTGCTTTCTTTGTTGAATGTTTGCTATCTTATGTATTGAATTTAGTTTTATAGGACAAACATATTTTAGTTTAGTATTATGAATTTTTTACAAAATTTAAGAAAAATTCTTAAAATAGACAATACATAAAAGTGTCTTTTAAATTTGTCCTTTTGCATGCACATGGGGAAATTAACAGTTCCATGGCGAAGTCAGTCGACTTTGCCATGGGACTATTAATTTCCATTTCATTTGAGACTACTTGTCTGCCTCAATATGTAAATGTTAAACACATCCCTCTGGCGAGGACACAGTTAAAAATAAAAAATAAAAATAAAATAAAAATAAAAAATACATTTGATAAAAATTAAATGTCAATTATCAAATGTAAATTTCTTGTTTGTGTCTATGCCATTACAACTTTCAAAATTCATAAGAATGGAATGAAGCCTTCAAATTGTATATAAAATCCATTTTAATTTAACTTTGACTTAAAATTACTTATCGGTATGAGTTGTTACAGTTATATATTTGTCCTGTAAAACTATGTGCACAAAATGTTAGACATTCAACAGAGAGGTGAATATCTTGAGAATTAATAAAACAGATAACTCTCTTTCCGACTAAAATTAATTATGTCTAAGACATAATTTATTTATTATTTTTATAATTAGATAATTCTTTAGAATTCAAATATCCAAAATTTAAGGATATTCACAATAAATAGAGCTTTGATATCTTTAATTTTGATTAATAATAATATTACAAGACTTCAGAAACATAGTTTGAGTTACTATAAATTCCTCATCAGTTTACCTTTACTACATGATTTACAACATTCTCAATCATATTGTAAGTCAGTAAAAATTAAAAAATAGAAAATATATATCATTTTATGTTAAAATTACAAATTACAAAATTAATTTCTTTTAGATTAATTTTTTCAAGCCTAACAATTATATTTTTGATTAATCCATAATTAGAAATGATTTTCTCTCAGAAATATATAAGTTATGAAATTTAATTTTAAATCTATTATAATTGCAAAAAATTATGGTGTGATAGCCGTTTGATAGATTGCCTTTATATGATATTTTGACAGTTTAATGTACATATAATAATAATTACTAATAATTTTAATAAACATGTGAAGACGATTCAAACAAATATTTAATCATAGGCTCTATTAATGGAACAAAAATTACCTCAACCTGGTTGGAAAAGTGAACAACAAAGTGAAAGTGGTGTTCCTACAAATCAAGATATTAATAAATTAGAAAAATCATGTAGAGAAAAAGATAAAATAATTTCTACTCTTGAGCAGCAAGTAACTGAACAGGTACAGTACATTTTAACTCTCTTGTTATTGAATTTCTATTAAGACATTTAAAATGATTTTTCTAAATATATTTTTAATATTTAAAAAGCAAAAAGGATCAACTTAATAAATAAATAATTTAATCAATTTAATTAGAAAAAACTTCGAATGCAAGAGGCAAAACAAGTAGAAGCAAAAGCAGCAAAAATAAAAGAATGGGTTACACACAAATTGAAAGAGGTATTTAATTTTTTAAACATTATATTTGTTAATATTAACAGTCATGTTCAAAAACAATGTCAAATATAAATATCAACTGCATTATTTTTTCTTATAACATTTTACTAGTATTATCTATGGCATTTTATATACTGTATGGAATAATAGCCATTATTTATGTAAAAACAGTTATATTCAACTACACATGTAATATAATAAGAAATTTGTTAAAATTCATCATACAATTTGTATTTAATGTATTTGTTGTTTCAAAAGCACACAGTTCTTTATATCATTTGCTTGTTAATATCTTTTAGAATTTACCTATAAACAGAAAGTGAATACTTTCAAAATAATGACAATATTCTTACATCTTAAAATATTTTAATGTTGATTATAAGTTGTATTATTACATATCTTATCATATATATTATTAACTATAGATAGACAGAACACAATTACAATCCATCCTTGATATAACAGTCTCTGGTTTGTTGGACTTCATGTACACAGACCAAATCAATTGGAATAAAATAAAAATATTCATAAATACATGGATTAAAAATTATAAAGTGTTTAGTCAGTTTTCATTTCCTTTAAAAAAATAAATATAGTAAATCATAAAATAACTTTAAATGCAGTAATTTATGTATTCACAGTTATGATTTCAAGAAAGAATCATTCAACTAGTTTATATTGATGAGTAACCATTTCAATAAATTCATTATACATTATTAGAATAGCTTTATTGTAAAAGACTGTTTTAAGTTATTTTATTATTATTTATTATTATTTAATTTAATTTATTTGCTATTACTAAAAATTGTAAAGTACAATTCATGTGAAGCTCTTAACGTGAATCCACAGAATATATTTTAAAGAATGAAACATTTATGGCACTGTTGACAGATGTAAGTGATTTCATTTAACTAACAAGACAATATTTGTCAATAGTTTCTACCCTTGACAGATTAATTTAAAAAATATATATTCAATGAACAAAAACCATTGACCAAATACTGGCTAAAAAGTTTAAACATTAATTTTAGACAGAATTGTATAACAAGAATACATGAATGCGACCTTAAAAAATGAAAGTATAACATACCCACAGAAAAGACAGTTTATCATTACAAACCAAATATATTGATTGATGAAAGCACAATAGCTTATTTCATTGATGTAGATGTTAATTACACAGATAATTTAGAGTCTACAACACTCAATGCAAACAATTGTGTATATAAATTAATGCATAAAAGTTGGAAATCAATGATGGCTAGACTCATTAATTATCCATTATTAATGTAATGTAATGTCTTTAGTCATAGAACAGTTAGCTGATATTTAATGTTTCCTATACAATAGTTTATTTTAATATAAATCTATAAATAGGAAATAAATCTTTTAGAGCATTATACTAATTCAAAATAATTTTATTATTGTAAATTAATTTTGTTTAATTAATTAATTTCAGCTGGAAGAACAAAATCAGCATTTACGTGAACAGAATCAAAAATGCAATAAGCAATTGGAATTACTTAAAAATAGGTTGACTCAGCTCTCTCAACTCAGTCCTAAATCTCATCAAATTCATCATGATCATTCATCTGAAGTATATGCTAATTATAATATTATTATATAGATTAATATATTATAAATTTTATTTCAATTAACCCATGATTACATGCTTTATTTTTTAACACACGTACATGTGTAAGGTGGTGATTTTCTGCTGATTTTTCAAGCATAATTACTCTGCATGTAATTCTCATTCCTCAAGTTTGACAAGTCTGAAAAATCTGTAATATGTCTGCACAATCAAAATTTTCAACAGCGTATGAAAATTATTTTTATATGTTGTTTAGTTTACTAGATATTATCCTCTAAACAATTCTTTGAAACTTTACATTGGCATGGGTTAATTTGAAGCAAGTTCAGCTGATAATAAATGATAGGAGGGATGAGGTGTTTCTCAGAAGAATCAGAAAATTATTTTTCTATATTTTTTGGAATAAAATACATGCAAAAACATTTTGAAATAAAGCTGTAAAAACATTTACTGTAAATTGTTGAAAGTTGTAAGACCTCAGGCTGTCTTACATAAACAAGCATTCAAGGTTGTAGCAACTCGTAGAGCACTGTGTCATTGCATCATGTATAGCTGACAAACATCCATGATGTCATCACTACCTTTTGTGGCAATTGTTTGAGGAACCTTCATGACATTATTTTTAATGACATCACCAAAACTGACATTAGAACAGAAAATTGCCACATAAGCATGCAATTGTGTGGGAAAAAATTTGTACACAGTTGCATGCTCAATGCATAAAATTTTCATGGCAGTTTTTTTAAGGCCTGTGGTAAGTGGAAAAAATATTATTCAACTAAAATTTTTATACAGTTAGATGGGTAGCAACTAGCATGAGAATATGGAAGCACATCTAAGTAAGTCAATTAGGTGAAAAAATGCCCATGAAAAAACTAGTAGATGCAGAAAATTGCTGCTCTTGAATGTGATTGTGGGTTAATATATAAGTTATGAAATTTAATTTTAAATCTATTATAATTGCAAAAAATTATGGTGTGATAGCCGTTTGATAGATTGCCTTTATATGATATTTTGACAGTTTAATGTACATATAATAATAATTACTAATAATTTTAATAAACATGTGAAGACGATTCAAACAAATATTTAATCATAGGCTCTATTAATGGAACAAAAATTACCTCAACCTGGTTGGAAAAGTGAACAACAAAGTGAAAGTGGTGTTCCTACAAATCAAGATATTAATAAATTAGAAAAATCATGTAGAGAAAAAGATAAAATAATTTCTACTCTTGAGCAGCAAGTAACTGAACAGGTACAGTACATTTTAACTCTCTTGTTATTGAATTTCTATTAAGACATTTAAAATGATTTTTCTAAATATATTTTTAATATTTAAAAAGCAAAAAGGATCAACTTAATAAATAAATAATTTAATCAATTTAATTAGAAAAAACTTCGAATGCAAGAGGCAAAACAAGTAGAAGCAAAAGCAGCAAAAATAAAAGAATGGGTTACACACAAATTGAAAGAGGTATTTAATTTTTTAAACATTATATTTGTTAATATTAACAGTCATGTTCAAAAACAATGTCAAATATAAATATCANAGGGTCTTTCTCGAATTGGGGGGAGTCTTGATAGAAAATTAACGGGTCAAAGAAAAATGAATTTGGATGATCTACGAGCTGGTTTTGAACGGAGATGGACAGTAAAAGCAGATAATGAAATCCATGATTATGCAGAAATTTACACACCAAGCAATGAGCTTCCTATTATTCTTGGATTAGATGGTAAAAGAAATAAAGATCAAGACGGAAAGCCACCTACACCTCCTCTTCATAGATTTCCTTCATGGGTGAGTAAAAAAGTAATAAATTAGAATATTTAAACAAATTTTTTAAACTTCTATTTGATATAATTTGTAGGAATCAAGAATATATGATATTGCTGTAAGTGGCATCAGTTTATCTTGTGATTCTCTACAAGCCACAAATACAGGTATTTAAATTATTTTTATGTCACCATCATTGAAATTAAGCAATAAATTACATCAGTGAAGTTCATATAAAATAATAAATTAAAATATTTATAAAAGGTTCACCAAAAAATACTGGAAAAACATCTGAATCAAATATAAATGGAGCTTTTACTGATCTGAATATTCCAGTATATGCCACTGTCAAAGGAGTATGTATTGTTATTAATTGTTTATTCCAGTGTTTTTCAAAATTTGAATAACATAAGGATCCCTTTTGAAAGGGAATCTTAAATTATTCAAGTTTTTGAAAATTTTTTCTTTTTGAAAGAAAAATTATTTTTATACTCCCTATCTTTTACTATTTTCTATAAATAACACATAGCCATATATGTAAGATTTTTGAATATATTAATAATGATAAAACATTATTTGAATTTTACTTTTTAAGGATATTTATATTTCTTTAAATACAAACATTAATACACATTATTAAATGAAAACAATAAAGTTAATTAAAGTAAGAATATTAAATATGATAGTTTTAATTATTTATAAAAATTAAATAATAAATTATTTTAATGGATTTAAGAAAGTATTTAGAACTTGTTGATTCTCTCAGAACAGTTGTAGATCATGGAAATCTGCAGAAAGCAATCTAATAAAGCTGGTCTGTTTGTTGTTCTTTAAATTCTACAATGAAAATTCCATAAAAATTTATCTAAGATTTTTTTTATATGTAAAATCATAATACATTTATTAAAATATTGTTTTAAGTAATTTTTAACTACTGGATAGTGTTTTTGTTTAATTCAAACATTTAAAATTAATTTTGTCATTGTTGTTCAGTGGCTGTTTTTAATAATTGATTAATATAGAAGTTTTATTTTATAATTTAGAAATTAGTGAAAGATCAGAGTCTGTAAATTTCTTTGTTTCATATAAATTGTAAATTGTAATAAATTGAGCAAGTCTAATATGTTCAAAACCACTTTCAAAAAGTTTTTGATGTAACTTTAATTATTTAGAATATTATAAGAAATTAAGTATTGAAAAGATAATTGTTATTGATTATTTTTACAGGTTAGATTATTGAAAATAAGTCATTTCTTTAATTTGCCAAGACAAAATAAAGTACTTCTAATCAAAATTTTCATATATTTAAAAATTTTTTATAATTTTAAATGTGAATTCAGCATATACCTTTTTTTATGGAGAAAGCAATGCTAATTTTTTAAATTATAAAATATATTTCCTTTATTAAACTTTAACATTATACACAAAAAAAATTCATACATTTATTCTTTAACAATAAACAGGATATTAAGATAAATATATATCCATTTATTTATAAATGCTAAAAAATAATGTTTCATGTTTAAAAATATAATTTGTGTCCCCATTTTATCTAACAGAAAGCTTGTTTATTAATTATCTAAAGCAAATTTAAACTAAACTTATATGAAGCATTCTATCCATATTAATAAGATTTAAGATTTCTGCTAACTCATCTGATTATAATAAGAAAGTTTAATAAGTAACAAAAACATTTTAATAAAATAAGTATCAAAAGCTGTAAATTTTAACAAATCATTAATATTTTAAAATACTAAAATCTTTTGAAGTTTTATTAATAGAATTTTTGTATTATATTGTAATGCCATTAAATTTGATTACTTTAAATTCTTGATTAAATTTTTTAAATTAAAGAATGATAAATTCAAAAACAAAATATTAAAGTTCTTGATTAAATCTGTTTAACTTTTGATTTTGATTTTATTGAATAACCTTTTTAAAAATAGAAAATAATGAGTTTAAAGTTTTTAAATTGTCAATTTGATTATTGTATTTACACATAATTAAGCAATCACATGTTTGAATTTAACAAAAACACAAATATGAAGATATGTTTATAATTTCATCATTAAACTAAAACTAATTTTATATATTTTAATAATCTAATGAATAGCGTGCATCTCAAATTCGATGTGTTCCCTTTACTGGAGAATCAACTGATTCATCTGATAATGAGGATACTCGGATAACTATTGCTACAACATCATCTCATACAACTAGCGGTGAGACTGAATCAAGTGCCTCAACAGGTAGTCCTAGTAGAGGTGGAAAAACAGGAGATAGTTTATCTGATTCTCCTGCAAAGAAGAGTTGTCCTTCTCCAACCAAATCAGTAAAACGAGGTGAAATAATTATTGTAGTAACTCTACTAGCTTTTAGTGATTTATTATTATTATTATAATATAATTATTTCAAATTAAAAGAACTATTCAATATTTTTAACAGATACTTCCACTGAATCAGTTCTTTCCGATGATTATGCTATACCACCTGATGCTCTTTCTGCTGATACACTCAGTGTAGATTCTATGGATCATCCATCTTTACGGATACCTCCAACACGAATTTCTTCAAAAAGAGTATTTATATGTTTTTAATGAATAATTTGAAATGTTAATGAAATCTTTAAAGATTGTTATTCTCAGTAGATACAATTCTTATAGAATATAAAAATAAAATTAAAACAGATAATGCTTTCTATTATATCATTTAAAACTTTGTTTGCTCTTAGAATGATCATTTGATAAATATTATTATTATTGCAGAAATTAAGCTAATTAATGCGCTCATTTTATAATTCATTATTCTTAAAGGAATCCTTGGAGAAAAGTGGTTATTTAACAAAATTAGGAGGAAAATTAAAAACTTGGAGGAGAAGATGGTTTGTCTTAAAAAATGGAATATTAAGTTATTATAAAACACAGGTATTACATTTTTTATTTAAACAAATTACAATTTCTAATAAATAATTTAATACACACTGTATGTGAATATTTCAAATGAATTATAAATGAAATTTTATTGTGTGAATAATTCAAAAGTTATACAATATTTACAATAATGAATGACTACTTTTTAAGTTTGTATACATCTATTAATGCCAAAATTATTATAGTAAAAAGTTTGTTACACAAATGCAGTGGTGGACTGGCCAGGATATCAATTTGCCTGATATCAAGTGGGTCCCCTTAAACATTAGACAATATGTTTAAAATGTTAAGGACTTAAATGACTTAAAAATATAATAGAAGTTCCAATATTATTACTATGTACAACTAAAATTTACTCTGTATTACTATTTTAAAAAAATTAATTTTTCAGGCTATTTCATATTTAAGGATATAATAAATAACTCTGAAAAAATAATTCAGATTGGGATTGTGTTAAGCCAAAGTATATGTTATGTAGACTCTGATTTTTAGTATGTGCAACTTAGTGGGAATGCCAGCCTAGGATTGTGATGTGCAGCTGGAGTCAATTTTGTATCGCGCTATTGTAAACATTGCAAAGACAGCAAATATTTTTAATTGTGCCGGCCTCAGTTTGAGTGTGCTTTGTTAGCTCTTCACCTTGTTCTAGTTATGTTTTGTGTTTTTTTTTTAATTATTGATTTTTATATACTGTTGCCATATGTCCTTTACTTTTAATATAAAGGATTATAGATGATGTAAAGATGTTAGGGAAACAAGTGCTTCCTTTTTGTGGTTACAGAAATAAATAGTCATTATTCAGGCCTATACTCTGAATAATGAGATTCTGAATCATGGCAATTTTTTTAGCTATAGTGTAGTTGATGACAAAATATGACCCTATTATGGCAGCTCACATTTGTGCAGTACAAAACAAGTCTACACAAAGAATAAAATGATTAGAACAAGAAAAAGCTCAAAGTAAAGGCTGTTGTGGATTTATTACATACCTGACAATTCTTAACATTTTAATCCAAATTATGAAGAATATGATACAAGAAAGAATTAGTCATGAAGTTTCTTATGCAAACATTATTCTATTCAAGTTAATTCATTTATCAATCACAGTTTTTTCATTATTGGTATGTGCTTAAAAGTGGTATCTGAGAAACTACTTGTGCTAAATAATGATGATACAGGACCTGTACTTTTCAATCTGATGACAAAAATTACAGTATTTTAAAATTGATTTCAGTAAAGTTTATTTGATAGTACAGATGGAGCTGTAAGCTACCATGGTCAGTATAATCGTTTACAAAATAAAATTACCGATGTGGCTTATCAAAATGTTCATATATGATTCTACATCCATGTCTTGAATTTGGTGATAACTGAAACTGAAACTGAAACAATAGAACTTTCTGTACCTGCAATTTGTTCTAGAATTTAGGAACATTTGTAAAAACATCATACAAGGGAATGGTTGTTTGGATAGAAGTTGTTGAAAACATCTAGGATAAGAAAAAATGAAAAAATTAAAGTTAATTGGTGAAACAAGATGGTCCGGAAAATCCAAGTGTAAAATTTATAGCACTTGTCCATCAAGTGTACTAAAAATTCTGGCATCCAACAGACTTAAAGAAAAGGCTTATGATAACCTTTATGAACTTTGTGAAGTCATTTGCACACTATCTGTTGCTCAAGTCCAATGCAAGAGGACATTTTCAAAGCTAAAGATCATAAAGACAAGGCCAAAGAAATTCGCTGAGGAGAACTTGGTATCATATATGTTGCTATCTATTGAAAATGAATTGTTAGATGAATTGGATGCAGAAGCAGTTATTGACAGATTCATGCAATCATCTAGTGAATTCAGGCGATTGTTTAATAGTGGACTGCATGAAATATGTTTTTGAATTACTTGTTAACATGTAAAATGTTCAGTACCAGCAAACTATTTAAAAACATCTACCATTTATTTAATATTTAAACAAATTTGTATTTACATTTAGTATCTACTATATATTACCATTAATATGTACTGTACAGTATATGTACACTGTAATTACTGAAAAGTATATGTTTATTTAGCAAAAAGTATAATTGCACTTTTCTTTTACTTATGTATTATTTGAAAATTTTATTTATTTCTTATAAACAAATTAAATAATAGCCTTATAGTTGGGATGAACGCCTTTTGTTTCCTGGCAACTAATATTTTTAGACCCAGTCCACCACTGCACAAATGTAAATTAATATATCAAATTAATGTTTAATATTTATAATAATCACTTAACTTATCATTAAATGCATCAATAGTGATATTATGAATAAGAATGCAATGCAAGATTTGCAACCATCCAAGCAATTTCATTTCATATGTAAAAATATTGATGAAAGACTTGATGCTTCATAAAAGAGTATATTTATATTAAAAAAGTTTTTTTTTAGAAACTTCTTCCATTTCAGTTTTTGTTAAATTTATTCAACAAAATTGTATTTTAAAAAGAAGGCTTAAATTTTCTTCACACGCATTTAATTCATTCTCATTTTTACATAGTTCACTCTTAATAATGTTAATGCAATAGTCTTTATAAATATAATGATCATTTATTTTATTGCATATTACTTAAGCAAATTTATTTTTCATCTACACGTATGCAGGGATTACTTTAAAAAATTTAAAAAAATCACCAACTATTTTACCTTTAAATGATTGACAATTTTCTATAAATTTTAGATTTTAGTTTACAGTTTTACTTACTAATCAATGTAGGTGCTGGTAGCCTTATCAGTTTGGAGTCTGGAAAGCAAAAGTAAACCTGTTAAGCTGCCACTTAGAAATAGGAATCATTTTTGAATAATTTTTTAATAAATAATTCCAAATAACACAGTTGAACATGATGCTTAAACAGTATTTCACATCTTGCTGTTGGCTTCTTTGTAAAAGTATTTCACATCTTCTGTTGTCAAAAGTCCTTTAGTCTACTGAAAAAAGATCACCTTAAAAAATTCCCCAAATTTTCTGTTGGCTGATAAATTATTCCCAATCTAGAAATTTTGGGCAGCATTGTGTGAAAACTGCCTTCAGTTCTCAACTTTTTTTTCATTTTCCTGTTTGAACTTATCACACGATGACATCTCTAGGTGTGTGGTGCATGAGACTCCCATCGTACAGGAGCTTGACATTCTGCTGCTTCTCCTGAAGCATGCTACTTGATTCAATTTCATGCTGAATGTTGAAATAAGTGAACTAGGGTTTTTATTGCCACTTTAATAAAATATTGTTAAGTGATGATTTTGGTGCTATGCAGCTCAACCCAAGTATGACTTTTGCACTTCTTTAGTTCTAATAACCTTTCTTTCAGTTTTTCTATTATAAGGTTTAAAAAATAATTCCAATTCTGTTGATAGAGATGGTATTACAGTACAATTTGATAACTTAAAATTTTAGATTGGAATTTTTTCTCACCCATAAATTTTGATCTAAATTCAGGTATATATACAAGATAAATCTTGATAGATGATATATTTTTCTTCTTCTTCTTCTTATTATTATTATTTTAAATTCTGTGTAATTAATGATCTAGAATATAAATTTAATAATAAAAAATAAGTCAACTAGAAATATGATGATGTATAATTGAAAGTAAAAACATAACTTACATGAACCACAAGTACTATACAGTGATAACAGATATGTTGCTGTAAATAATTGGATGATACTATTGTAGAATAATGTTTTAATCATCTAAAAAATAGAACCTACAGTATAACACTATATTTCAAAAATATAAATTGGAAATAACACTGGTAAACAATCATAAACATTGTTGCTTGTAATTCTTTGTCAGCAGGAATAAATTAATAACTTGCTTTTGCTGAAGAGTTAATTAAAATAAATTATTTTATAATGAATTCAAATAAAGGAAAAAAAATGTAACATTATTTAAAAATTAAGTTTAACATAAAAGTAGAAGAGAAACGATTTAAAATAAAATTTAGTTATTAGCAATTAGTTTTAAATTTATTAAAATAATAAAAAAATTAATTTCTAAAATGTTAAATCTAGAATGACATCAATCGTAAACCTCAAGGTCAGATAGTTTTGGATGAAGTTTGTAGAGTGAATCGTGCAGAAGGTGCTGCAACATTTGAAGTAAGCATCATAGATTTATTACTTTTTATTTTGATTAAATTTTTACAATAAAATAATTCTATAAGCAATTTAAGTAGAATAGCTACTGTCCTTTTTGTGCTCTCTGAGTGGTAAAGGGCCTAAAACCACAAATAAAAAAAAAGTAGAATATCTAAAACTTATTTAAATTAAACAGTTCATAAATTAATTATTTTGAATTTAATGTTTTTTATAGATATCTACTAGCAAAAGAAATTATTATTTAACAGCAGATTCAATAAGTACAATGGAAGAATGGATTCGTGGTAAGCATTATTTACATATGTAACTGTAATGAAATTCCTAGCACTTTACGGACATAATGTTTGATTTAGTAGTAAAGATGCACTTATTATAGATACTGTACATTGTGACATCATTTATATTAATTTGGTTTATTGTATACAAATATTAACATAAGTGTAATTTGAATGGTGATTAGATTTTTGAAATTATATATACATATAAACTCAGTAAAAACTATTACAAATCTATGTCTGACAATTAAAAGAATTTAATGGATTGTGCTGATGCTGAATTAGGACTATTATACATTGACCGTGTTTGTAGAAAAATGTTTGATGTACGAAAAAGAAAAATCTACATCTTAGTTTATGTAATAGCAAAATATTTTTTAGATAGAATAAATATACATTTTTTTATAATAATTCTAATAACACTAATTAATATAATAATACAATATTTTAATCAACATGTGTTATAAATTTCTTCTAATAAACTTTTATGGGTCATTGGTAATTATTATAATCTGAAGTTATATGAAATTGACAGATGAATACCTAACTGTTGGAAAATAAGAGATGAAATTATTTTTTGTATGCCACAGGAGATTGATTAAAATGTATTTAAAAATAGATATATAATTTTAAAACTTTAAAACAAAAAAAATTTTTATAAATAATAAAATGTACTTATACCAGATGCATTTTGAACTATATTATCTAACAGTTACTCTTCAGTGGTAGAAACACAAAGTAAATAACATAATAATGTGAACACTATGACTTATAAGAGTACCGAGATACTTTTGTTGAGATTGTTGAAATTTTTTCAACAAATTTTTTATTAATTTTACATCTGTTGAATTATCTTATGTTTTGCAATGCTCACAAAATGAAATACCAATTCACTATTATATATTTCACTCTGCGAGCGTGGTAAAATAAAATTCATGACATGAATGTTAAAAATATGTTCTGTTTTGTTTTTTTTTGAAAATACTGTTTAAATACCAATATTTAAAATTTTTTTGCTTTAGTTTTTTTTCTATTTTTGAAAATTTTCTATTAACATACTACTCGATTTCTTATATTCTCATTAATATAGTTTTGACACTAGACTTTGTTACGTTAGTTTAAAGAATGATTAGGTGAATAATGACAAAATTCATTCTCAACATCTGGATTAAAAGAAAAGAGATAAGTAAGCATTATGATGTTTAGAAAACTTTTGCCAATTTATATTCATGTTAAATTTAAAGGTTTATATATATATTGGTATTTCTTGTATCATTTTTTGGAAGTAAAAAATTATGGTAAAAATGAAATTGATACGAAACATATAATTAACAAGATAGAAAATTATGCCAGATTCTTATGCTTGTAGAAAAATTTAATGAAATATAATAAAAAGTAAAATAATAAATATGTAAAAAAAAGCAAAAGATAGAGAAGATGCTTGGAACACAGTTGAAATATACAAAAAAATTGAAAAAAAAATTATAAGAGTTAAAAGAATGGAAAGATTTAAAGTATCTAGAAATGAATAAATGAGTATAAAAACTACTCATAAAATATATTAAAAAAGAACAATCAAGTTTTTGACAAAATTATATTTAAAAAAGCTAATGTAACAACAGATCAAACAGCAGGAATTTTATGTATTGAATTTAGAGTCAAATAAGATGATAAATTAACATACTTATAAAAAAAAAGTTAAATGAACCCAAGTTTTCAAAGTTTGGAAAAAATAAATACGGTATTAATTGTATTGTCAGGATCAGAACAGCCAATTCACATACATTATACAGTACATGGAAACCCGCACCTGTAACCAAAGGAACTGACTATTAACACACCTTTGATTTTCCACCTAATTTAGTGATAAAAGTAAATCATATAAGGTCAGAGGACACGCTTTCTTTTCTGAGAAGAAGATATCTTAGTTGAATAAAATAAATAGAGGAGTCTGTGCTGTGTTTCCACAGAGAATGAACATTCGAATACCTACTCATTAGAGACTGAATCTCTGGATATGCTAGACAAGAGAAGAGAAGCTACTAGAATAAAAAAACCTATTTTGTAATTTCCCATGTGGTAGACATATCCTTCCCAAATGTGGTCTGAGAAGATAACCTTTACTAGTATACTCTAAGATGACTAGACATTCTGTTTTGAATGGAACAGTTGCGTGTTAAGGTTTTGTCCCAGTGTCTCAATAATGTTTGTCTCGTTTTGAAAGAAATTGCTGGGATTGTCCTTTTCTCCAGGCACAAAGATTCATGTATATGTTACAAGCACAATAAACTGTTATATCAATGTAAATCAAAGTTGTCACCAAGCCGATTAATGTCAAATTAAATTTGCCTTCAGTCTATTACAGTGAAGCTGGTGTTATCTCAGTGGTCACAGATTACCCACACACAGACGCATCACTTCCTACATATGCAATGGAAAAATTACAGAGATGGAGTAATTATAGATCACAAGATATGACTGGCTATCAGAAGTACACATTATTATTTTGAAATATTTTTTATAATCTGAAGAAGTTCAGGAAGAAGTAAGGCAATACTTTAAAATTTTTGAATACTTTGTTTTTTAAAGAGGATATACAAAAGCTTGTTTATTGCTGAAATAGGTGCCTAAATGTTGGTGCTGATTATGTTGAAAAGTAGCATGCTTTTACTTATTATGTGTCATTTCTGTAAATAAAACAGTTTGTCTATAATTCACAAGTGTACCTTAGTAACTGAACATCCTTTGTCAATATATTTCCTAATGAACACCATTTCCTAAAATGAGCACCATTTGGATACCAGAAGAAAACACAAATGATGGTGGACACATTAAAAAGTCAATCTGAAATGTAGTTTGTAATTCCTGGAATTTTTAAAAGGAAACAAAATAGATATTAGAAAAATATGTATAGTAAGCAGTTGCAGAAAATTATTCAATCATTTTGATAGGGTTGATTTTTGCAAGTTATTTTACTAAAATTATTTTACCAATTACTGAAGGAATGTATTGATTATTTCATTGCATAGCATCTTTGAAAGCTGATCAATGTATTTAAACCTTCAATAAAATAACTAGTTTACCATTGCATGATTACCATTAATAAATTTAATCAACAGAATTTGTAATAATTACAGAATTAAATCAAAATTTGTAATAAATTTTCAATAAATTAATTAAAATATAAAACTGAAAAATAGCAAAAATTGTTTAATATTTTGTGTTTATAAATACAAAAACATTTTATTGTTGAAAGGAAATAAAAATTGTAAAATAAATTATTTATTATTTTTAGTTTTACAGAATGTTTTGAGGAGAAAAGCAACCAGATTATTATTAAGCAGGGCAGAAAATAAACCAACAACTGAAGGATGGTTAACTAAGGTTTGTAAATTAATACTTTTAATTATTCTTAAGGAAATAAGAATATTTACATTAATAAAATGATCGTTATCTCAAGGCATTAAATTAAAACAAAGGCAAAAAATAAAACTGAAGAAACCCTAATAGGGTTTCTTCAGTTTTATTTAATACAGTAGAACCTCGAAAACTCTGCCTAATGTGGACCGAAGGGTGGCCGAGTTTGTGAAAATGCCGGGTTATCGAGAATGGGGTTTAAAAAAATAAGTACGAGTGTTTCCTCAGAAAATACTGTACTGTACTTGTATGTATTGTTTACTTGAGAATATAACAGAGAATAAACTGCCCAAATACCCTTAAACAAAGGAAAAGTACGTCCTTTATGAAGGCATAGAGCCTTTACTACATGAAAATGAAAATTAATGAATACACTGTGTACAGTAATTTACCTGATAAGACAGACCTCAGAAAAATACTTTA